GCATCCGGACGAAGATCCTTTGTAGCTAAATCTGCCAGTTTTCTGTTCAGCTTATAAAAGGCATTTTGTGGACAAGACCATATTTGCATTTCCCAGGAGAGAATTGTCCCGTTGCACCCATTAATGGAGGAGGTGCGTGTCAACTGGAGTCCCACCATTCAGAGCCGCATCCGCCATAAGGAATATTTGCGTCAGTAGGCTGCTGACATCTAGCAACCTGTCTTGTGTGGATCATAGACCCTGTTCCAGGACCTTGCGTTGGACCTTCTCAGAACTGGCTATAAAGGTGGCAAACACCGGATCAAAGTCGGGAGTAAGGATCTCCTTGTCCGGTAGTGTAGTTCTAAGTTATTTGGCCTGAGGTTTGGCCCTGAAGTCCTTATCCAGTTGGTGACGGAGCCAGTACCTGACGGATTTCTACTATATGACTGGACATGGTCGATTCAGAAGAGGGTGGATGCTTCAGGCAATGCGAATAGATAAGAGGAAGGTCTGACAGGTCCAGTATCTCCACTGGGCCCTCTGTGGATATGGCCAGAGCTGCAGTCAGGTCTGTGGGATAATCTCCAGTCACAGTCTCTCTATCACATAGGGTGAACCCTGACGGTTGAGGGGTGCCACTTCACCAGGAGAGTAAGCACCGCAACTGCCGGCATAGTATTCATCTTCCACGTGGGACCCTGAGCTTTCCTCATCTGCATGGCTGGCAGGGCAGGCCATTGGCCAATCTAGCCAATTTGGAGGGTGCCTTCCCCTTATTAGCAGAGGTGCTCTGGCCCTTCCAAGAGTGTTTGTGTGAAGTGTCTCTTTCAAGGAGTAATGAGACCCACCTAAATCAGAGCCCCAAGGTCCAGGAGTGTGAGGAGAGATCTGTGTGGAGCAGATGAAGGTGCGTCACCCTAAACAGCGGCTATGGCTCTAGGGAGGGAGTCTACCAAGGAAGAACACATCTCCAGTACTTGCAAAGTACCTCCTTTAAAAGTTCTCTCTGGCAGGAGAAGAGAGCGCTGAAGTGATATAGCCCTTTCCCCAAACACCAGATGATACTTAGTGAAGGGTAAAACACACATATTTATTAACACAAAGCACACATATTTATATTTATACAATCACAACAGGCAGTCATTAACTGGGACTGGGTCATCAAATAAGTACCAATGCGGCTGGAATATAACTAGATCAACTACCGCTAATCTAATTAGCTTCCAGACCACAGTGCTCCTTAGTTGAATATCCCCAAAAACATGCAATTAAAAATTAAACCCCACATGTGGTATCCCCAGAAAGTTCTTCCTCAAGCACTCTTACTGTTAAAATAGAGTTGTGATCTGTTGCAGGAGGTTCCAGCTACTTACGATTTAAAGTTGTATCAAAGTTCCAATAAGATCGTCAGTTTTACATAGTTTCTATGTTTGTCCCTGTCGGGCACATATAGAGTTCTCATAGAGGATTAATTTGGGAATGTCTGGTGTGGGCAGGTCAGACTGGGTTTCCTGATCACCCTGTGCCCCTAGAAAGCACAGGGTGATAGACATAAATGGGGACTGGGCAGTTTAGAAAAGGAGTTCCCCCATAAATCTGCCATGGCCTCCCTTCCATGCCTACCCCCATATGACCCTATTCTCAGGGGGTTACTGACAACCACAGACTCTGACACTAAATATTAAATCCTGTGCTCCCATCACAGACTGTGAATATTGTTTCTCTAATGTAGGCAAAAATAACATAAAATTGGGGGGATGGGGATGGAAGGGTTGAATTGTGCTCATCTAAATTCACAGTATACTGAAACCAGGTCAGTGATAAAGTAGGTATAGAATCTATATGATGTGAGCCACTCTGCAATAGTCAGTCTTGAGAGAACAGTGGGCTGCAGGAGTAAAAGAAACACGGCAACATATACAGTATGTTACCCATCATCAAGGCTCTGAACGGAGTCAATGTACTCTATAGGTTGTCCATCATGAAGGGTTCAATACACTGTAAAATTAAAGAACCAGATCAATGAGCTAACTTTATAACTGAAAAATTGGCTGTCAAGGATATTTTCATTTCCCTAACTGGGTTAAGAACCCATGACTGTACAGTCAGAAAAAACAACTATAACATGATACTATTTTAGATATATTGACTGAATGAAACAAAAGAAGAAGTAAGAAACATAAAAAGCAGAGGATAAATGGCCATTATATACGTTAGCTTTGTGTAACAGGAGTGGGCATCAAGAGTATAAAGTTTGGAAATCCAAAAAGAAAAGGTCCAGGCAATCCAGAGCTCAATGTGAGGCTCCTTTATTGGAAACAAATGTTCTGAGCAACGTTTCAACCAAGCAATGGGTCTTTTTTCAAGCTAACATCAGAACAAAACAAACTGTGTATATATAGACAAAGCAATCAATATAAGGTTGAGCCTTTCTGACATATTGGCCTTTTGGTTGCGACTGTCATATTTGTAAATTGCCCTATTTTAATGCTTGGCCTCATTGCGCTTTTGTCACATACGTCCGATATCATCGATCCTATGATGCCCTTTTTGCCTGTCCTTTGCTTGCTAAAACCACATGGGTTGGAAGCTCTACAATGGCGCACATCTGAATGGAATGTTGGAGTACACTTTTATTAATATTTAATTGATATGTAATAATTTCATGGGATTTGTTGTTAAGGTTATTGCTTGCACAGCCTATTTATACATAGTTTGTTTGTGTTTGTTAACTTGACAAAGAACCATTCTTGGGTCAATACATTGCTCAGACATTTGGCTCTAATAAATGTGCCTCTTACTGAGCTCTGGAGTAACCAGACCTTTTCTTTCTGGATTTAGTACTACGTGAGGGTTGTGCTAGTCCATGGTTTTATTTTGCATCAAGTCAGTCTTCTGGTTCTTTTGGATGAGTACATTTCCAGTTTATTTGTTTGTTCATCTAAGTACAGAGTTTGGAATGAACAGTCCTCACCCTGCACCCACATTAAAAGGGTTATTTACTACAGAGAATTTTAAATATAGGCGTCTGTAACTGAACTGAAAGCAAAGCTGAATTAGAGAATATTTCCAATTTGGCTATTTTGGCCTTAAATTTTAAATTCACTTTGAATTATCACTTTAGTGAATAAGCCTATAGAGATGAAAACATAAGGGCATTCTTTTCACAACCTTTGTAATACAGCAATCAGCTGTGTGTCTGCTACTACATATGTATATTTTCTATTTTATGGCGTCAGTTTTTCTCTTCATGTATAGGTTATATTTTTATCACTAATTTTATTATAACCCTTTTTAATATTATTTTTATCATATATATTTTTCGGGTTCCTTTTTTGTCCAGGTCGTTATAGAGAACCCTATTCTTTATTATCATGCATACACAGATCACCCTTCTCCCCTACATGGCCTGATCATAAAGGATGTTATTATTAGATCTTGCGTTCCAATGTAAAACACATTACACACATGATAAAGAGGTCTGGTTAGAGGATATAACTAATCATTCCAGTGTGAAACGCACACCACAATCCCGGAACACAGCGGAGATACATCTGAGAATCACTATAATTATTTAAAGGAGGTTATGGATGGAAGTCTACTAAGACGAAACGCATTGGATACCTTTATTGGGGACTCAATGTTTGTTTGTCCTGGGATTTTTTTTTCTTTTAACTTGATTGTTTTTACCAATTCCATTTCATCTCATCCAGATCCGCTGCATGTGGAGATATGCCGTTTTTAACCTTGATCTTGTAAATGCAATCTAATAAATTGTGTTTTATATCTACTAGCTGCACTATTTTTGTTTTTCTGTTTTACTTTACAAGCCAGAAAAAAAAAAACCTCGCCTGAACAGATTCTACAGACACGCTGATTTTTCCATGATGGACTTGAATAGATCCAGGTTCTACTGAGTGCAATTTATATTCTTCAGGTCGTTTTGGGACCTGACTATATTACCCTATGTCTATCTTGTTTCTCTCCTAGATATCTGGACATATTCACCTTGTTGTCATTTAAGGTGGTTTTACCTATGAGATCTTTTCTTTCATCCACACCCTACTTATTTGTATGTTTAGTTTCGCAGTTGTTTGGTGTATAGAGGGCACACTTTTTAAGTAGGTGTTTGACGCTGTACATACAGTGCTTATATTTCTCTTGTTGTAATTTGCATGTACAGGTTATATACTGAACGTATAAAACATACAAAAGTGTGAGATTTGGCTTACTGGAATCCTTTTGTCATGTATGTCTCTTGTCAAACTATTTTTCAGCCTCTACTCTACAGTAACAAACATCCACTCCTGAGCTCTGTTCTCTAATTTGCACAGCATAAACCAAAGGCAAATTAACAGTTTAAACTTTAAAGGTAAATTTATAACTGTCATGTTCTCTTAATAGTTGCAATTGAAAACTACACGTTTTACTTGACATACCAAGGGCTATGTGATTTTATTTCAAGTTTATTGCATCTCTACTGAAGTTATGTGATGTATCACTTAGCAAATGCCTGCATGTTGTTTTAAGAGAAATTAGGTTAAAGAACCATTCTGGCTCCATAACCATTACAGTTCGTGTTCGTGGTTACAGTACCAGCAGTGCCCTGGAGTCCTCCAAAAGATAAGTAGTCAAACTGTTTGCAATTTGACAACTTACCTTGGGTCAACCAGGCGTTTCTCACCACCTTTTGAATGGCTCAGCTTATTGGCTAGAGGACTCAGCTGACACTCTCAGTCAATAAGCCAGCAATTTATTTTGTGTTTCTTGTAGAAACTTCTGGCTCCACTGGAGATTATGTCTGCTGAACCAAAAGTTATCAAAATCTTTGCAAGCAGTTTGACTACGTACTCCTGGCACCCTAACCACTAAATTCGGCTGTTATGGTGCTTGTAGGAGTATCTTTTGAGCAGCTGTCTATTTTTACCGTGGATTTATTCTGCATCTACTCTTGACAGAACCAGACAAATTGGATCCGGTTTTATCACAAAAATATATCTCCCCTATGGTCCTTATGCATGACGTCTAAGACCCCTACAGGTTTATTCAGCAGACTGCTAATTCTAGGGATTTGAAACCCAAAAGGCAAAATTTCAATCAAAACAATTTTACAGTAGTATGGGTGATGGTACCTAGAGACTTCTGGCAGCCTTTAAAGCTCATTTTCACTTTTTGCTGATTTACAAGCATTTAAGTATTTTGAGATTATGACAACAAACCTGCATAGTTTTAGGATTGTTCTAGAGTTACATTTTGGTAATTTAAAAGATTTTAAAATATTAAGGATTGTTGAGTTGCACCAGTAGTTATATTTTCCATGCATAATTAATCTCCCAATCCACACACCCAACATACTACTTCGTTGCAATAAAATAAGTAAAAAATAAAAAGTTATATCAAGCCATTTGGGGGCGATACTTTAATGAGAGCAAATAAAAGAATGGTACAATAGGTAAAGCGACATTAAACACATGTTCTATTTGCAGAGAAATAAACACAAAGTATCATATATGATATGTTTTTTGTTTGTTTTTTTGCTTTCTTATACATAGAGCTTTAAATACAGGACTTGAAAATGTGTACATAATTTAAAACAGAGACTCCCTGGTCATGCTGTAAAGTTCACAGGGAAGGAAACAGTCTGAAAACGAATACAAATTATTTCAAACATCAGCCCATATCTTAGTAACAACTGGATGAAGTGGTTTAAATGACCAGAATCATTTGGCACATCAAAATATTTTGTAATATTGGTGCATAAAGAGCTAGGAGAATTGGACGCATTCAGAAAAAACATACAGATAAGGCGAAAAGGCCTTTAAAATAGCAGTATATTAAATTTGGGCTTTCATAAAGATAGAATCTGAAACATGCATAAAAAGTATGTTGAAAATCACTTTGTTAATTATTTTTAACGAAATGTGACAGACCTTCAAACAACTTTAGCTGCCACATCTTCCCATTTCCCATCGTTCATGCTTTCCAACACCTGGTTCAGGAAACTTATTTGACAGGAGCAAAAACAGAAATTTTTAGTCACCGTAAATTATTTTTTCTTAATATGGTGGCAGCACGTATGGGTTGTGCTTCCTTATTGGGACAAGCATCTGCAAGATAGGGTACTAAGAAAAGTCCCTCCCCTTTACCCTATAAAGTGCTTCCACAGCAAACCCACCTTAGTCGTAGCAAGAATACACACCTAAGCCACACAATGTAAGCAGAATTGTAATTTAGAGGGAGGGAGATTTATACTGCCACCATATTAAGAAAAAAGAATTTACAGAGAGTAAAAATTTGTTTTTTTTCCTGACATATGGTGGCAGCACGTGTGGAATATAGCCCCAATCGGGTGGGCCTTATGCCTAAACAGCATGAAGTACCTACACCCTAATGCAATTTTAGACGCAGAGTACATCTAGTCTGAAAATGCCTGATGTTTTGTAAGGTGCTAAAAGCTGACCAAGAAGCAGCCATCCTGATTTGTTCGGGTGAAGCAAGAGCTTTTCTCTGCCCACGAAGTGGCCATGGCCTTTGTGGAATGCGCTCTGAAAGACGCTGGCGAATCAAAACTACTGACGCATAGGCCATATGATTGACGAAATAACAAGAAATAGAATTACGAGAAGTTTCACTCCCCTTAAAACTTTCCTAGAAGATGACAACAGGTGATTTGATCTTCTGAATTTGGCTGATATTGATAGGTACATCTGAAATGCCCTTTTTTAACTCTAGAATATGCCATCTAGTTTCAGCGGTGAGGTGGCATAAATATAGAAGGATGAGCTGATTAACGACTCTAAAAGATAACTCTGGAAGAATTGAAGTTTTAGGATGAAACACAATTTTCACCATGATGGAATATAAGAAATTCCACTGAAGAAGATATATCCTGAAGCTCGCTTACTCTCTTGGCAGAGGTAATGGCCACTCAGAATGCTGGGTAAGCTTTAGCATGTTAAAAGGAACCCCTCCAAAGTAAAAGGGGACCTGAAAGACCAAAGAAAGATCCCAGGAGGGAAACAGAACTTCCGGGGTGGCTTAAGAAGCCTATTGCTTTAAAGAAACCTCTAACCAGTATATACGAAGACCAATCCCTTCTCATCAAGAACTTCGGGAATACAATTGGGTCTTAACATGGAAACGCACAACCTGTGGAAATTTCCTGCAGGAAGTGTAAATTTGAACCAACCAGACAAATGAACTAGAAGACAATCCCAAATCCTCATGTAAAGGTTTGAGGCAGAATGACTAGAAGATTATATGCAACAAGTGGAGATAAGGGATCCACTATGCAGTGCCCTACCTATTCAACACTTCCAGTAGGATATCCGGTTTTCAAAAAGTGTTTGAGATCGGAAGATCCCCAAACTTGAAATTCATCTCCACCAAGGCCAAAAACTGGCTCGTGTTTGGCTAGTACGGAAAGATTGGCAGAACCACTGCTCTGTCCGTTACCTCTTTGAAGTCATCTTGGGAACAGTCTATAGGAGAAAAAAAAAATGTAAGCCCGGAGAAATACCCTTATATAGATAGACCAACTATTCAACATGAACTGTCTTGTACACAAAGGCAAACCTGAGAATCTTCATGTTCTCCCTCTTTGCCATAAGGTCTATCCGGGTACTCCAAATCTCTCTGTAGACCTGAGGTTGTAGGTGAGGACATTGTCGACACATCATGAGTGTGTGGACCTCCCAGAGATCCTGAGCCCAGTACACCGTTTTGGTACATAGCTGAAACAGACCTTACCTCTGGCACTGCCCTGTCTGGTGACGTGAGGGAAACAGTGTCGTGGTCTGACCGCATTGTAATAGGTCCCTCGATTAACCAAGATCTGAATTGGTGAGGGGAGTAAACAACTTCCTTAAGAGCTCTGAAATTTGTGGACTATTTTTCTTAGGACCAAGAACGCTGGCACATTAGAGAATTTAGACGAGTGACCCAGCCTGTGTTAGATGCATTCTGTGGTGAAAATTACTCCTTCAATAGGCAGAACGGGCAGCTTCCGCTTTTTTCAAAGAGAGTCCAGGAGACAGAAGATTTCCATACTTTGACCTAGAGGAGATAATTTTCCACTGTAGTGGCCAAATCCAGATTTTGCCCAGTAGACCGCAGGAATTGAAGATGTCAGACATCCCAGCAAGCTCATTTCCTGTCCTTATGGAGGAATTTTTCACTTTAGTAATTGGACCTTTCCTTTAAGAGTGCTGAGGTAACGTTTTAAGGTTAACACGAACCTCCAAAAACCCTAAAATTTCTGAAGAAGAAAGTACTTTATAGTCTTCCTATCCGACCATGTTGCTGTAGCGCTATGCTAGCTACCCGAACACACTTAAAGAGCAAATGTCCCGATTAGCAATAAGTAGCCAAACTCACAAGTAGGAAATGCCTCGTTCCCTAAAATATGCTGTTATAGGTGCGTTTTGAAGAGCAATGAAATCTCTACAATCCACGTATTATGGCGTATTTTCAGAAAACTTATTGAAGGGCCGCAATAGGGATATGTGGGAATATATCTCTGATCTATATACACCAAGAAATTCTTTTCTGCAGAATCAGAGTAACAGAAGCAGAAGTTTCATTTCTGAACCTCAGGAGAATAACCAATTAATTTAAATTCATAACTGGTTTAAAATGAATGATCAGAGTTTGATAACCAGGAGATTCCTGAGGAACCCAACAAACTTTGTGGTTCACAGAACCATATCTCAAACTACTTGAATCCAACAGGAACACTGTTTCTGTAAATAGAGTATCAGATGCGGTGCCCTCTTTAACTAGTTCGAGCAACCAGTGATTGCAAGTAGGTTCCACTTAAAAGCCAGGTAAGAGACATTAAGATAAAAACTGGTGTTAAGTGACTCCATTGAATGGTACTCCAGTCATCTGCCTCAAAGGGATGAAGGGCTGAGTCAAACCTGCAGGGGAAACAAACCTGTGAACCCCAAGGGCTGAACAAGGTCTAAACCCACTGAGCTATCCACATTTAGTATAGAAATGCAGGATTACACCTCCAAGCTTCTTGGTGTCTGAAACGCCTACCCATGTCAGCCCTAATTCTACTTGTCTTGAGGCAGAGCCTTTTTTCCTTTTTCGACATAGGTTATAAGAGATACTCTTTTCCCTAATGGGAGTAAACAGGTGACCGAAAAGACTGCCGATCTGCCGTCCAAGCTTAAGCCACCACGATATAAGGGAAACCGCAGATCAACCCATGATCTTGCCCGTCATTGTCAAATTTTATTAGTCAAATCCATATAAAATATGTGACAATCCCAAATAAAACAGGAGACTGACAAGCTGCTAATCAGGATACTTAAATAACCTCCATTAACGATTTAATATATAATCGTTAATGGAGGTTATTTAATAATAATAATAATAATAATAATAATACAAAGTTATAAGTTTTGGACACCGCTGCACCTGCCAGCAAAGACCCATACCAAAACCCAGACGTCTGGAAAGATTGTCTGCAAGAGGTCTCAGCCTTCTTGACGACAGTGTTTTTAAAGCAGCTACTTCTGCAGAATTGTATGGCCTCCCAGTGTACCTGGGGGTGTAACATTTACCCATTTGATAGTAAGCATATTAAATGTCGGGCAAGAAAGGCTCGTTACACAGTGTGTTCCCATTTTTGCATATAAGAAAGACATGGGGTTTGAGGAACAGATAACCCTCATTTAAGTTTAGCAGATTTATCCTGCCCCATGACCGATTCATTCCTAATGAACCTTCTCGGTACATCAGGTGGGAACCAACTCCACACAGTATGATGAACCAGACATGTCTTAAGAAGAAGTAGATAAACATTCGACATACATTAGAAGTAATCGAAGGATGCTTCTCTTCGGTACCGGCACAACATCTCAGGCAGAGCAGCTGATACACTATTTGATTCTCTATAAGAATTTAAAGATAGGAATAATTGCATATTCTCTGCTAAATTTTACCAAAGAAATTTCAGCACCATGGTCATATTTATAAACTCCAGAACCACAGTAAGGGAAGTAGCACACATACAATAAGCAAAAGCAGAGTATAGCAGAGGTATTCCACGGTGTACAAACAGTCCATCTTGCACCTACAGTCCACTTTCTGCAAAACAATTCCATCCATAACTTGCAATTTTAATCAGAACAGATTTTCAAGGCAAAAAGCAGCTAATCTTACCTTGAAAACCTCTGAACCGGGGGGGGTGTGAGGAGGGTTAGTGACATGGGAAACCCTTCTGACAAGCTTCCTGCTGACAGAGGGAACAGCACAGCAATCCGCACTTAGCGGTTTCCCCCGAAGTTCCGGTTCGCGCATTCGCAATAGAGCACCTGGAACTTCGGTGGAACGCAACACCACCCGGGTGTGCATTCCAGCACTGTGCGCAGGCACACGGCCTGCAACATAATGAAGGAGTCCCCCGGCCTGCCCATACTCACCAAGCCGGAACATACTCGGCGCAGAGTTACACAGAAAGGGCTCTGGAACCTTCACAAATGGAGCCATGCTGCTCAGCCTATTACCCGGGCGGCTATCGGGCTTCCTCCCCCAGACAGCAACCTGTGTGCCTCACCTCCAACAGACGCTTGATCCGTCCCGTGCTGGGACAAGGAAGAACTGAGGTAGGTTTGCCGGGGAAGCCCTTTATAGGGTAAAGGGGAGGAACTTTTCTTAATCACCTATCTTGCAGATGCTTGTCCCAATTAGGAAGCACCACCCATATGTGCTGCCACCATAGGTCAGAAAAAGATGCTGCTTATAGCCTAAAATTTCCACTCGCTCCCTAGCTTCCTGAGAGACAAGAAATACTAAGGTTAGAGAAGTAGTTTTGGCAGGGAGACGAGGTGGCATCAGTAAATGAAGTAGGCATATAAATAAAAGGGATAGGTTCAACAAGGTTACTGTGGAGAAGAGAAATAGTTAGAATATAGAAAATGTCTTGGTAAGGGGGAAGAAATAATAAAAAGTCAGGATTCAAATATTAACCCCCTCACTCCTGCACATATCCACCTTTGCACTTGGAAACTGACACTCTACACAAACACACTTCTGCATCGAAACAGTTGTTTTGCATGAATACACCCTTGAATTCATACACCCTTCTAAATTAAAAAACATACTGACATTCTCTGCTCTGAACAGGCCATTTATATAAAAATAAATAAAAAATAAAAAAAAAGAGAAAAATGACATTCACATGGGTTTAAAGCTGGTGAATACATTTCTAGTAACTCAATGTTTGAAATTCTGAGACATTTTGAGCCCTGGTCTATGATATTTAGCTGCATAACCAGGGTCGTCTATAATATGATTAGGACCCTGGGTAATGCATTTTCTTGGGCCCCCTGGGCCCTGCTCCTTCCCCCCCCCCAACCCCCTAATTACACCCAACCCGCAATCACACTGACAGACATACTGACACATACGCACACAGACAGACATATTAAAACATTCTCAGATACATACTGACATACACATACACTGACACACAAATATATACTGGCAGACATATTGACACACATTCATGAATACACAGACACATAAACTGACAAATATACTGACACACACAGACGCATACACTGACAGACCTATCGACACACACACAGGCATTCTGACACAGACACACAGGCAGACATACTGACAAACACGCAGACATACTGACACAGGCAGACACACACAGACAGACACAGAGACATACTGACACTCACAGACATACATTTAGCCACCCTCCAGTTTCTTACCTTTTTCTGAAGGATGGTTTCCCTGGGGTCCAGTGGCAGGCTGAGGCAGATGGGAGTTCTCCTCTGGAACTCCCCTCCTCCCTGCCTTTCTCCTCCCGTGCAGTTGTGATCTCCGTTGGGAGGAAGTGACGCGCGGCACTCACTTCCTCCCAGCCGGCTGCCAAACAGGAAGGGGCCCGGTCGCGCTGTTTAAGTGTCACAGTGCCCGACCGGGCCCCTGCTGACACATGCCCACCGGGTGGCCCTTAGTGCATGGGTCACCCAGGGGCCTCCTTAGTGTGCGGCTGGTGTGGCTCTGTGCAGCCCCCCCGCCAGGTACATGGGAGCTGCTCAAATCGCGGGGCCCACGAGGCAGCTGCTCTGGGGCCCCTCAGGAGCAACTGGGCCCGGGGCAGCTGCCCCGTGTTAAAGACAGCCCTGTGCATAACTGAGAACCTTTAGCAGACATGTTTTTACTCTTGGGCACATGTTCCTGACCGATGAAGATTAACAACACTGCTGTAAATCGTGATCCCGTCATGATGTTGCCATGTGGCACAATATTCAAATTTAATACAATGCAAATATAAAAAAAAGGCATACTGCCCAGGTGTAGACAACGTTTACCATTAAAGATGCTGTGGGAAACAGCTCATTTGATAACTTTAAATCATTTTGTCTTTAGTCTATAACATCTGGAATTGCAATAAATGTTTGTACCTGTTACAGCATTCAATAGACCATTTGACACTGCACTCCCTCGGTCCCTAGGGTGCAACTGAACCTGAGGTAGGCCAAACCCCACTCTGTAGTTTAGAAAGTAGACATTTGTGCAAAGTGGAACCAAAAACGCAGGTTTATTGGAACAGTGTACAAGCATCATTTTGACCCCCCCAAGGGTCTTTTTCAGGCTCAGAATTTTTTATTTTTTTATTTTTTTTTTTTACTTGATTAAGACCTTTTGGGAGTTGAAACGTTGCTTGAACACTGTTCCAATAAACCTGCATTTTGGTTACACTTTGAGTTCCTCGACCATTGTCTCCTTTGTACCGGTTACAGAAACATCTTGTGAGATGCAATAACCCCAAGTACCAGACATAAATTAAGCTAAATTTGCAGATTACATGTTTGTTTACCAAGACTGGAATGAAAGGGATAAATGGCCAAAAGAACATATTAAAACAAAATAATGAAGGCATTTTTCAAATACCAATAATGAATTAATATATACATCAAATGCAGCATATATTGGTAATCGGTTACCAAAAAGGCAAATATATTTCTTTTTTTAACCTTTCCATTAAAACAAGTTTATAATTCAACAGGCTATGTCTAGGATAACCAGGGGGGTGTTTGAATAGATAGTGCGAACTTCGAATGAAGGACAACATAAGGCAGGGAAGATTGGTTGAAAGGTACAATGAGGGTAGAGAAGGATGCTTACGCCTGTTTCTTTACAGTACATAGATCTGGGAGTGTGGAGAAGTTGTAGCCCACTGAAGCATAGAGGGGACATCCTGATCTCAATGAATGCAAGTAGGGTGACACAATTTGAAATGGATGCCTGTAGATTTCAGTTTGCTGCACGCACAATGGGCATTCTTAAGAGCACACACAACAGTGGTAGTTCAGGAAATAGGTGGTTAGAAAGAGCAATGCGCTTAACTCAATGGGAAGTGAAGGCAGCACATAAAATATATGTAGAATCTTATTCTACACATGAAAATACACTTTCAGATTTTCATTATGCACACTTAGTTCAGGTTAAATGCACTTAACTCAATGGAAAGTAAAGGCAGCACAGAAAACTATGCAGAATCATCTATCTGTAATTATTCTTTTCCTACAACAAAACTAGATAGAGGACAATATACTTGATAATAATGATAAATGCAGACTTATACTGTAAGCTTCTGATACTGGTCATAACACACACACACACACACACACTTTTGATGCTGAGCTCCCAGAACCAACAGGCATATAACACAACATACATAAGTACTTATGGAAGGAAGGAATAAACATAAGAAAAAAAAAAAAAAAAATCACAGCACAACTAAAAAAGGATGTATCCCAGCCACACGTATGAACAGACATACATTCATTTAGCAGCAGGTTTCAATTGTATACATTCAGAAATTGATCTACCGTTCCCTATTAGTACAAATGCCGTTTTAAAACTTAGTTTGATTTTTTTTATGCTTTAATTAAGAATGGATTTTTGATGGGCAATAGGGAGCAACAGGTAGAATATTTTGCCATTTATAATTGCATGGCAATATTACATTTTTAGTAGTCCTAGAAAACAAATTAATGTGTCTTGGGCACAATTCTGAACACAATTCCACAAAAGCCATATTTGTAACGAAAACTAAGAATTCAACACCTTTGTTAACTAAGTAAAGAAACAGATTACCTATAGCTTTGTGCCCACCACAAACTTAAATAAATTAATTACATGAAAAGAGGGTTAGGCAAATGCATTTGTATAAAAAGAGTTGATGCTGCATATGGTCAAGTCTGAACTGAGAAATAAAGATGGCACCTAGCCTAAAAGAATTCACACCTGCCTGTCTACTTAAACTAATTTTGCATTAATATACAGAAATATATTGGGTGGAGGGGGGGTTCTGTATCAGAGGACTGAGGTAGGTCCCCTATGGCACTATTAGTGTCATTGAATGCAAAACCAGGCTTAAAACAAAAGCAGATGTTATTGGTACAATGCAGGGAAGAACATCACCTTAATCCCTGTAACACAGAGACAGTAACATGAGACAGCCACAAACCCATAGTCAGCAAGACAAGACACATTTAGCTTATCAGTAGTTTCCCACACAGTCCTCATGGCACACCAATACTGCAGGTTTGTCAATAACCCTTCTGGACCAGAATCTGGAAATGCCTAAATCAGGTACTTTTGGTGTGTCTTGAGGAGTGAGTTCTGAACCACAGTATTAGAGGTACCGATACAGTGATTGCCACAGATAGCTTAAAATGATCATAGTATCTGTCAGTTTAATTTATTTTTTTTCCTTTGAACATAAAAAATTAGCCGGTTATAAAAGCCAAGCTAAAGATTTTTCTCCCCACATTTCTTAAATCATTGTTTCTCTCATAAGCCAATAATATATCTAAATGTTATTACATACTAAAAACACACACACTTCCTTTGATGTACGGTAGTTTACAGAATTTTGTATATTGATTAATAAATATTGTATTTTTATGTCCAGTATATTTGAGATACATTTACACTGGAAATGACTTATAAATAAATTAGCAACTGCCACTGTAATATAGAAATCACCAGAAAAGAAACTGGTTTCTATAGGATATAATGTTTTTAGAAGTATGGATGGATGGATGCTTACACTGGACTTAAAGTTGGTTTAAGTGGATGACAAATGCAGTGAGCACTGTAGACAAACAATGGTAGAAAAAGTTCTACAAATGGAGAATATGGTTGGGAGGAAGAATGAAATCATCTTTGGGAGCAATTAAATTGTTTACCTTTTAAATAGGGATGGTATCTGAGGAATGGATAATTTATCCATCCTGAACTGTTTATTCAACAAATTGATGCACACAACATTTTGCAGAAAACATTTTGAAAGTAATATCTGTAAAGACTGCTAAAATCCTTAGCAATTATTTTAACAATTCAGTATACACCGATAGCAAAGGACTAATTTGTTTTGCATGTAGCTGGATGTTGACTAGTAGATACAGAAAGTGTGCAAATGTATATATGCAATGAATAACAATCAGGGCACTTCTGAGCCAAAAAATAAAAGTATTTCATGACAAAAAATAAAGGTGAAAAAGTAGACACATAGATCAGTGAAAACGTCTGCCATCTTGCTATATGTATCCAGTGAGCGACTGATCACCTCAGAAGGAATCCCAGACAGAAGAAGTGCTGCTGTAAGGACCGTCGTCTTTATCTTTTTATCCCCCTGAAAAAAAAACACAACAACAATTATAGGATTTTTAATGTGGCATTAAACTATATGCAGAGTTGGAGAAGCATACCTCCAAACATTGGGATGAAAGGGTTGGCCTGAGAGGGGAATAGCCGCTAAAAGGGCAAGTACTGCTGTAATGCTCTTTACAGGGTCCAGGTGCCTGTGCACAGCTTGAGCATGCTGAATGATGCACTTGCACTCTACTGCCTAAGGACATTGTCCACAGCAGCAATACACTAGGAAACGAAATTGGGCCTGTTGGGCCCGGGGAGAAAAAAAAAACAAAAAAAAAAACTGAATGCACTAGTATTTATTTATTTATTTTTTACAGGCACAGCATATAGCTCTATGGAAAGAGAACGTACTGGAAAAAAATATTATTATTATTTTTTTTTTTAAATCCGGTTATTTTTTCCCTCTGTCCCAGCGTCTGCCTGCTCATTTTCCTGAATAACAATGGCTACAAAATAGGTAAAACTATCTCTATGCAATCTACATTGTCTGTACACAGATTATCCTCTGCAGTTGTGCACAGTGCTTTCTATTTGAAACCATTGCTGTGATAGAATGGTTACATTATTCCCATAAATGCCCAACATGGAAAATTGCAGGTGGCCTGCAGAGACTGTATCCCTCTGCATTCTCTTAATCGTCAGTTATTTCTTCAAGACTAATTAGCCAAATTTATTTTCCACCTTTAGTAAATCGTATATATCCCGTCTCTCTTTGCACGTCAGATACTTAGCATAATTTGAAAAGGCACTTTGATTCTAGTTTTTAATTTGAGTACTAAATGATGTTCAAGAGAAATACCAGAGAAAATGCAGTGTTTACATTACAGCCACTGGCCACTCCTCATACGGCTACAAGAGGTGCTTCCTGGGGCATTGCTGCACACTGTGCAGCACTGCCCTTCAGTGTTTCCACCTTCTGCATGGAGACACTGAACTTTCTTTATAGAGATGCACGGATTCAATGCATCTCTATGAGGAGATGGTGATTGGCCAGGGCTGTGTTTGGCATGTGCTGGCTCTACCCCTGATCTACCTCCTTGACACTCTCAGCCAATCCAATACTTTACTATGTGAAAGCATTGTGATTGGCCCAGAACATAATTTCTGATGATTTCAGCCAAGCAAGTAGGTCAGGGGCAGAGCCAGGAGCAGCAGACTAGAATTAAGTTAAGATGTTATATTTAGGCAGTTAAGGAACGGGGTGGGGGTGTTCCTGACCCGATCCTTTAAAGTTTTGGATACACTTTAAAAATGGTTTAATATTTTGAAAACTTTTTTTTTTGGTGTGTATAACTGTTTATTGGTTTTCAATAAAGGGGTACAGAATAAAAGAAAGGGGGGGGAGGTATCTTTATACATTGTCACGTTCCGAGGTACATGCGTGTATGCACCTCGGGTCGTGCTTAAGTAGATTTCATAGCATTATACATCAACAGGCTGACAACACACCCAAAGTATTTATTCAATAATTTCCATATGAACTAAGTTCAAAGTATATGGTGAGTTGGGCTCCTGGCTGAAGACCCACTGGATTTGTACCTTCAAGTCCCTGTTCAGGGTCCCAGGGTACGTTGTGGATGTTATGCGGCAAGTACGAGCAAACCAGAATAGTCTTGAGCTTTCATGAGGTTACCGTACGCTTAGGTTCGGGTCTAGACTATTCAGTCTAGGGTGTTTTGCCTGTGTCAAGGCATAGTGTGTGTTGCTGATTAGTCAATTAGTTGGCACCGGTGTTCTGCAACTAGCATTTGCTATATGTACAGGTCACAGTTTTGTCGTCCCAAGTGGGCTGTACACAGCTGTTGGAGTCGGTCCCCCGAGGGCCCACCCCAAAATAGGGGAGATTGGTTCTGGAGTTAGGTCGTTAGACACCGCTCCGTTCCAGTGCTGATCCCATCTCTCCCATGCTTCCACCCAGAACTTAGAGGGTGGTAGTGCCCTACGTGCAATTATTTCATAGCGTTTTGTTGTGTCATTTTCGTTAATGCACTGTTGAATTGTAGGGGGAGTGGTTTGTAGCCAATGTCAGATAATTGAGGTTAATGCTGCTATTATAATGTGGTATATTAGATACAGTAGATGTTTGGAGATTTTTTCCGGGAATACTAACAATATAAAAATTTCTGGTGTGTCTGGTAAGTCTACTCCTGTACTTGTGTGGATCAGCTTAGCAGTATCCGCCCAGTACTGGGCTAAATGTGGACACGACCTCCAGATGTGTAGCATTGATCCTGTGTGTACATGGCACCTCCAGCAGGAGTCTGACTTGCTTGGGTCTAGGTATTTTAGCCTGCTGGGAACCATATACTACCTGTATATTATTTTTCTAGAGAGCTCTATATGAGAGCTATTTAGGGTAAAATGTTTGTGAGCTCTGAATATCGCTCTCTTTTGATGTATAGTAAATTCCACTTTTAAATCTTTTTCCCATTTTTGAATCTATGGGTTGTGTTTTATGCTGCCGAATATAGGAGTGAGATGAGTTTTAGACATTTTTTCCTCGTCCATCAGCTGTTGTCCATGTACAAGAGTATTGCCCTGCGTATAAGGTTTGTGGAACCATTATGTGATCTGCATATATATGAGAATTGTGCAATGTTAGATAACTTATACTGTGTCTGTAGTAGTGTGAAGTCTTTAAGTTTGCCTTCGTGAAGTAGATGATATTTGGATTTAATTCCATGTCTTTGCCATAGTTTGATATTAAAGTCCGGTATCAAGGAGGAAAGTGTCTCGATCGGCACTGCTGCCGATGGTCTCATGGTTTGTTTTGTCTTTGTTAGGTGTCTATCCCAGTGTTTAAGTGTGAGGGCTGTGATAGGTAAAATTCTGGGGTATGTTTGGCACAAGGCTTTAGGTGTCCAGGCTAATGAGAGCAGTGAGTGGCCTCCTGTATAGTGTGCCTCTATGCGTGCCCAGGGAGGTTGGCTCTTCTGTACGGCTGCTGAGAGGATAGGGAAAATCATGGTTAACTAATAATATACAGCCAGATTTGGGAGACCCATGCCCCCCCCATTGAAAAAGGGCTTGTATGGTGTGGTCGCTGCAACTCAGAGTCTTGTCCCCTGCCACACAAAAGGTATTGATTATTTTCTGGGCCTCTTTAAAAATGTGTTTGGGGGAGTCGGATTGGGTTTTTCTGCCCAAAACCAGTTCCACAGTGTCTATCCTGGAGATAATAATTGGGAAATAATCCAATTATCTCCGAGGACAGAAGCAAAACTCCATTAGCCACATGGTAGCAAAATACAATAAAATACATAAAAATATATAACTGTGCAGCGATTGCATAAAACGGGTACATTCAACATATCCCCAGATAGCTTAGATCACATACATACAGTTCAATTGCCATGGAGCCAAAGTCTTTCACATAGTCTTTCGTTATACGAATGGGCTCCATGGCAGAGCTATCTGGGGTAACACTGCTCACATAGGGAAAGTACCGAATGACCCGGCTTTCAGGTCTTTGCAGGGGAAAATCATGCATTTCAAGGAGGCTGGCAATCAGTCTTCTCCAATGCCCAGTGGCGAGGCTGGTTCAGCCACATTTCTCCCCTTTCCCAAAAAGACTAACAAGGTATCTGGCCTCCTGTCGGTCAGTGCCTTGGTTAGTCCAGCAACCCACCCATAAAACATAGTCAGTAGTGCAGCCCACCCACAATGAAAAGTTACTGCACCTGGGAAACGTGCAGCCAGTCTTTGTCCAGGGGCTCCATCACGGCTGTGTTTGGTACGGGTACTCCGGATCTGTGGGTTGCTGAGTGGGCAGAGACCAGCGGTCCTCTGCCCTGGTGCCAGCACTTCAGCTGGAGTAGTCTGGTTGGAGCCCAGCTGTGAAGAGGGGGTGGTAGGCTCCTCTCCTTGGACCCGGTGCTGCTGCTGGAGGGGGAGACCGACTGTCTCCCCTTTTAATAAACAGTCCTGCTGCAGGGGGACCGGACCAACTGTTCCTACACCTTGTGGGGAGCAGGACCGACTGTCCGTACTCCCTGTAGCTTGGGCGCAGAGACCACGGTCCCATCTGTGCTGGTGGGGGGCTTAGTGTCTCCCCTTGGTGGGTTATGCTGTCGCTAGGGAGAGGGGGTAACAAGCTACTCTCCCTTACACACTTTCAGCCGCTGGGGAGGAAGGACAGCACCTTCAGCTCCCTGTGATACAAACGGTCACTGAGGATCTGGGCTGACTGCCCAGCATCCCTTTAGGGCCAGTAGAGAGACCGCCGTCACATCTCCACCTGTCATCTGTGGGTCTTCCCAGGACCAGTCTGTGAGGTCTCTCAATATTTGCGAGTAAGGACCACCTGCTTCTGCACCTTGCAACTCCAGCTGCTGCTGGGGATCTGGGCTGGCTGCCCAGCATCCCGGTGGGCCCGGTGGAGAGACCTTGGTCCCATCTCCACCTGCCTGTTATGGTTCCTCACAGGACCAGTCTATGAGGACCCCTACTTCGGGTTCCTCCAGCCACCTCAGGGGAAGACCACTAACCTCCTCGGATGCAGCCTCTACTCGGCTGCTGTAACACTCCATCCGCTGAGCATACTTTCTCCCTTTCGCCAGCCGGAATTCTCGGTCCAGCCTTGTGTTTCGCTCGGCCGTGACCTGGTTCCAGATCACCCGGCGTATCTCCATGGGTACATCATTCAGATACTGGACCACTCGCTGCCTTACCTCGGCCAGCCAATCATCTTCAGAGCCAGAGCCTTCCATACCTGTCTGCTCCAAGTCGCTGGATACCTCTGCTCCCAGGGACGCTGCACGAGTGCTAGCGTTGCCCTCAATTTGTAACTCCACGAACGGTGTCTCTGAGCTGCTTTACCTCGCACTAGGACGCCATCCCACCGCTGCCACCAATGTAACGGATCACCTGGCACTCCGACTTGGTACCTCCGTTGAAGGATGCTCCTAGCGCTTCCTGAGGACTCCAAGTACTGCAGCAGACACCACAACCACCGGACCGGAGAAGCATATGAATGCTCTCAAGCATATGAATGCTGTAAGCAGCTGAACAGGAAAAGCATACAATCAGCTTACACTCCTGGCAATCAGCATACAATCCAATTCCCCCAATAACGAGACGACACTTCGTTTTGGAGGTCAAGAAGAACTGACTGTACTGGCACATACAGCCTCTTTTATTCCCAATCCACAAACATAGTACTGCCCACAGGGTTTTGAAATACAACCAATCAATCCGTCCAATACACACAGACTCTCCCAAACAAAATCCTCCCCTCTGCCTGTGATATGATTACTAAACACAATGGGTAATATAATTATCACAGGCAGAGAAATACAGTTTTTACAAAATATTAATAACTTCCAAAATATACATGCCATTCACATAAAACATAAATTTTCAGAATCTGCATGCTTGAAATATACACATCCTCAAAAATCAGGGCAATCGGTTCAGGGGTTAAAAAGTTAAGGGAAAGTCCTATTTGACAAAATGAAGCATGGTTTTTCTGCCCAAAACCAGTTCCACAGAGTCTTCTATCCTGGAGATAATTGGGAAGGAATCCAATTATCTCCAAGGACAGAGGAAAAACTCCATTAGCCACATGGTAGCAAAATACAATAAAATACATAAAAATATATAACTGTGCAGCGATTGCATAAAACTGGTACATTCAACATATCCCCAGATAGCTTAGATCTGAGCGCAAATTATTACTGAATGGCGCTCAGATCACATACATACAGTTCAATTGCCATGGAGCCAAAGTCTTTCACATAGTCTTTCGTTATGAATGGGCTCCATGGCATAGCTATCTGGGGTAACACTGCTCACATAGGGAAAGTACTGAATGACCCGGCTTTCGGGTCTTTGCAGGGGAAAATCCAGCATTTCAACATGGGGCCATAGTCACAGGGCAGGAGGCTGGCAATCAGTCTTCTCCAATGCCCAGTGGCGAGGCTGGTTCCGCCACAGATGCTGTGAACGCCACACCGAGGAAGGTCAGGTAGTCCTGTCTCCAGTCATAGGGGAAGCCTGCTTTTAGTGTGGAGAGCGTCTTATGTGGGATGTCAAATCCCATTGCTTGTGTTTTAGTGATGTTTAGTTTGTAATAGAAACAGTCGCTGTATCGTTTTAATATGGCGTGTAGATTGGGCAGCAATAAGTGTGCTTGCTCCAGTGTGAGGAATATGTCATCTGCAAATAATGTGACTTTGTGATTTTCCCCTCCTATTTTAATGCCATGTATATCTGGATGACTCCTTATAGCGGTGTCAGAGGCTCCAGGCTTAGAATGTAGAGTAGTGGGGACAGAGGACACCCCTGTCTCGTACCGTTAGTTATATTGAATTGCTTAGAGGCGAATCTTCAGTTTACAACTTTTGCTGCTGGGTGGGAACGCAACGCCAAGATCAGGGAGCAGAACTCCCGGGGGGAACCAGAATTTCTCAAGGACCGAGAGGAGGAAGGGCCAATGCAGCCGGTCAAATGCCTTTTCAGCGTCAAGGGAGACCAATACGCACGGGGCCCTTCCTCCTCTCCGCTCGTTTAGGAGATTTATCAACTTCCTAGTGCCCTCCAGTCTCTGTCTGCCCCCCACAAATCCCACCTGGTCTTTGTGGACAATCTATTGGCATATGCATTTGATAGTATCTTGACATCTGTGTTCAATAGAGATATTGGTCGTAGGTTTTGACATTTGTTGGGGATTTTCCCGGGTTTGGGAAGGGTTGAAATATGTGTCAAAGGCATTTTGGACAAAATATTGCCCGTAGATATGATATAATACCCTTTCCAGCTTAGGAGCTAGTACGTGTGCATATCGTTTCTAATAGGAATTTGTGAAGCCGTCTGGGCCAGGGGATTTCCCATTTGGCAATGTTTTCATAGTATCTGATATTTCCTTAGTGGAGAAGTAGTGCGGACTTGACGCACTACGGGAGTAGCGGAGAATCGCATCTCCTATGGTGGCTAGGGGCTCGACTTGGTAGGTCAGTATCAAGGCCAGGGTTCTCTATAGTTGGAAAGGAGTACATGTAGGGGCCTGGGCAGTATAACTTTCTCATTGGGTGAACCTTCTAAGTTGCGGACCCGTGTATACAAGGGGGTTACAAGCAAAATTGCACAATACATAAACATACACAAAATTGACAGGCTTTCCCAGGAGATAATTTCTAACTTTTTTCTGGAAACATTTCTCTCCACTGTATAAACCCCCCTCCCACTTTTTTTTTAAAAACACATTTCTTATCCTCACTGCTATACCCGGAGAGCAGGTAGGATACCCCCCGGGCGGGAGTCACCTGGCCGCTCCCTACCTTTAGGCTAGATGCGGCTATACTCAGATGTCCCATATCATTTAAGGGCCATCCTGGGCTGTTGTAGGGATACTAAGAGCCCATATTCAAATCTTGGCCTATATATTTGTATTTCCTACTATAGTGTGTCCTTCTGTTGGTTGGGTTGTGCTATATATCCGGGAATGCCAGACCTTTACCCAATATTTTATGACTAAAACTATTTACACATTCAGAACCTATATGGTAATATTGTCCTTCATCGCCCTCATAGGGCCAGATTGCCAATGACGGCAAACATTAGAGGTAGCAAGTATACTTGTGTCCGTTTAGGCTTATTGACCGTTAAGCTTAGCCGTGGTTCGCAGCGGCCTTTACTGTGTGCCATTCCGGAGAGATTTTCTGTCTCAACTTAGGAGCTTGCACAGGTTGGTGACTCACCAGGCCCCACTCTGCCATCTTGCTGAGGCCTTCCTCAGGTGTCGGTAGGGCTTTGATGCTGCCTTCCCGTGTGACAAGGAGCTTGGTAGGGAATCCCCATCTATATCGGATGAAGTTGTTCTTGAGGATATTGAGCACCGGCTGGAACAATTTACGCCTCCAAAGCGTGGTTGCAGACAGATCTGCAAATATTTTCACTGATGTATATTCCTCTGGCGGATAGGTCCTGTTTCTGCTAGCTTTGAGCACTATTTCCTTAATGTGGAAATAGTGTGCCCTCAGCAATACATCTCGTGGCACTGAGTCTGGCAGATGTCTGGGTTTAGGTACCCTATGTACCCGGCTGACTAATAGCATGTTCGCCGGTATTTCTGAGCCATAAGCATGTAGCAGGCCTCTTACATAGAGAGGTAGGTTCGGTGGCAATCCATAGTCTTCCACATCCATGAGTTTCGTCTCCATCTCCTCTACGCTCCAGCGTTTGGACATGATCTGCCATGTCATTATGGGCAGAGGTGAATAGATCCATTTTGGATTCTATATGCGTGGTGCGCCAACCCAAATCTTGAATATCTTTCCTGAGATCGGCTACTGATTCTTGCCACGACTGCATGTCCCTGATTCCCCGCCGCCATCTTGCCCCGTGGACCTCGTGTTTGGAGTATTCTGTGCCGGTTTTTGATTGAAAAAAAAATTCAGTTTCTCAGCCCAAGCGCTGCTTTTTTTTTTTTGCCTTGGGTTGCGACATGGTCAGATCCGGCACTGCACCTCCTTATTCTCTGGCCCTGATGTTCTAAATTGGCGCTTATTTCGGAGCCATAGTGCCAGAGCGAGAATCTATGCTTCCATTCCGCTCGGCGGTTAGCCACGCCCCTAACCTCTTAATATTTTGATAGTTTCAGATATATTGATATTTTATATGATGTCTTTTTAATATTTTATAATTTTGTAAAAAATTTTTAAATGTTTATCCAAAATTATTGAATTGAGGCCTACATCAGGGAATTATTTGAAGAATGTCACAGTTTAGACTCTGAAGTATTTTCTTATATCTGTTTGCTACCACCAATTGGAAACACTGGTGGTTTATCTCCTCAAAGAAGCACTGTGGCAACTCTGTACTTTAATGGAACACTATAGGGTTAGGAACACAAACGTCTCTACGGAGAATGTTTAGCATCTCAGGACTTCCTGGGTCAGAGCTGTGCAGCACTGACCTATGAAGCACCTCTAGTGGCCCCTGGAAGTGTCCCTAGGCTGTAATGTAAACAACATATAGTACATGTAGGAGAAGAAGGAAAAAAAATGGCATTTTAAACTTTTTCTTTAAGTGAAATAATCTTACCTTTGGAAAGTACTTCGACAATCCCATGAAAGCAAGTTGTAAAGTGAGGAATGGAGCAAATATTGACTGCAAATGAAAATTAGATGTATCAACATAAGTACAATTTGGGGGGGGGGGAGAGAGAAAGAGAGAGAGAGAGAGAGAAAGAGAAAGAGAGAGAGAGAAAGAGAGAGAGAGAGAGAAAGAGAGAGAGAGAGAGAGAGAGAGAGAGAGAGAGAGAGAGAGAGAGAGAGAGAGAGAGAGGGGAGGGAGGAGGAGGAGGAGGAGGGAGAGGAGGAGGAGGAGGAGAGGAGAGGAGGATAGATGAGGAATCTTTACATTACAATAATTTTTTTTATTATGTTTATCTGCCTGTTTAAAATATTTTTTTAAAGGGGACATGTCATGCCTCAAATCATTCATTCTATTTTGAAAGAGCATGACATTTTATCTATACTTTATATTAGCAGATTGAGAGAGAAAGAGAGAGAGAGAGAGAAGAGAGAGAAAGAGAGAGAAAGAGAGAGAAAGAGAGAGAAAGAGAGAGAATGAATGAGAATCTTGCATCCTTTACATTACAATAATTTTTTTTATTATGTTTATCTGCCTGTTTAAAATATTTTTTTAAAGGGGACATGTCATGCCTCAAATCATTCATTCTATTTTGAAAGAGCATGACATTTTATCTATACTTTATATTAGCAGATTGGCTATTTAAAAATAGGTCTTTCTCCACATTTCTCAGTTAAATCTTTGGCATACACTCTATTCTGTTGATTTGACTAAAAAAGGTGGTCCTTCTGTTCTCCCAAGAATAGCAAAAGTAGCACATGTGCTGCAGTTGCTATGGAAACTCCAGAGCAGACACTGTCAGCACTAGCTAGGGCCAATAGGAATTGAAGGGTTCCCAAGAAGAGCAAATCACATAAGAGTGTGGGTGGAGCGAACATGGGTGATACATGAAGAGTACAATGAACAAAGCTCAAGGTTTGGTGGCGCCCGAACAGAGGTAAGGTGGGTATGTCTTGAAATTTTACACTGAATACATCATGTGTATTTGTGAGAATTTGTGGACAATGTACCCAAAACTTCCACAAAAATATGTAATGACCTGGTAAATTCCTAATAATACCAGGTTTAGAGAATAATGCATAAAGACTCTAAATGTATTTATGTATTCATCTGATAAGTACCCATTCTATTTAATAGAATGTCTACAACATTAGGTGGTAAAAAATAATTGGGCCTCAGATCAGTATCATATGAGCAAAGCTATATATCTGATTGGTATATTCTAGTACTGATGGTGATCATGGTTAATCTACAATCTAATATTTAATTACAAATGTATATATGCACAAGTAACAGTTTACTGACCAATGAATTAAAACATACACTAGGTATAGAGATAAATTTTGCCAATATTTATGTAACAAAATGTAAGCACACCAACTGCAAAAGTGTAGTAAAATCTCTAGGTATTACTAAAAGTACACAAATTCAGGCATAAAAATAAACTCATTCAAACTTCCCCTATCCCCTCAAAAGATTAATAATCACTTACCAAGAACTTGCATACAAACATTCTGACTGCCACAGCAAGAAGTGCACTTCCAATCAGTCTAAAAATGCGGAAAGAGTCCAACTCCTCCACTCCATTACCATTTTCTTGATTCGTCTTCTCCCCATTTAGCTGGTTCCTAAGTTTCATGGCCTCATCAAACTTTGACAAATATTGGTTTATGCCTTTTGGGGTGGAGTCAGATGTCACATCTCCACTGCTCTTCCAGAGTCCATTGTTGTCTTTCCGGAATTCTGAATTCTGGCTGAAATCTGTCCTTTCTCCTGAGTAGGACTCCCTCCCATCTCCACTGCCATAAAGGTGTTCAGTTGATATGCTTGTGTCTCCAGAAAGAATGACACCCCTTTTAGACAGGGCTGATGAATCTGATTTGTCAAGTCTTTCTATGCGCAATTCATCTAAAGTACAGAATTAAAACAATAAGTGATAGTCACAAAGCAGCTTCCTTTAAAACATTTGTTTTGTAAAATACATGTTAGGATATAAACAAGGGTTTTTCTAGTTCTGTGAAATGTAGAGGAAAAGAGGGAATCCCAAAATACATTAACAACTGGCTACACAATGTCATCTTCCCTCTCCAGAGACAGTGTAGCTAGTCAATGTGTCAAGACAAGCCTTTTTGTGTACCTCTAGATAACCTCTGCATAAATGTTTGCTTACAAATGCCAAACTATTAAACTCAAAATTTCACTTTGAGATCTGCACTTGCACAGACCTGTTATGGCCTTGATTAATATTAATTAATATTTTTAAATGATTTTTTCAACATAATAATAATAATAATAATAATAATAAATATATATCAAAAATATATTAATATGTATATAAAAAAGTAAAAACATTTTTCATAATATTAAATCAATTTAAAGGTTCATCCAAAAATATAACATATTAAAAACACTATTTAGGTGGCCATCCTCCTCAAATATCTGGAAAAGGTAGATGCAGAGGTACACTTTAGTGTTACAAATACAGTTTTCTATTCCTAACACTATATAGTGTTCCTCTAACATTAAAAAAGGATCACTGGCCACCTATAGTCTAGCCCCCAACGAAAGTATTGCTAAGGCAGAGATAACACACTCCTTCTAGCTATACCAGAAATGGATTCTGTGATAAGTGGAAAGCAGTCAGCTGACAGCCCACTCTCAGCCACAAGTTGCTTCTCAGGCTAATGCTTCCTCATTAGCCCAAGCGGTGCAGAGGCGATAGGCTGCTGGGGACTCTCGTAAAGCATAAAAACATTTAAGTGAACCTATCATGGCTTATAAAAGTTAGGATAAATTACCCCCCCAATACATTAAATGCATTATATCACAAAGATATATGTATTCAGTGTAAAATTTGGGAAAAATCACTGCCCACTCTTCCTCTGTTCCATTGCTGCCATTTCTTCATGGGTGTTACTTGGTGTCCATATAACACCTACCTACCTGCCCATGCTTCACCTGCTCCCTTATTTCATTTGCCATGCCTGGGGATACTTCCCCAAGCAAGTGAATCATGACAAGGTGGGAAATAAATAGGAAAAAAAAAAAATAATATTAATATTGATGTTTACTATCGAAAATGTATTGATAGTTCTTTTTTTATTTATTTTTTTTTACAAGCAATGTCAGGACAGTTTTCCACTGTGAGGATTAGTTCCAGTTTGAGGTTAAAAGGATAAAACAAAAAAAATTAACACATTTCTGGCACTCCTATTTGTAAACGCATAATATGAAAATAAAATTTGGAATTCAGCAAACACATCCAGGGTTACTCATACTGTCTACCAACAACGCCAACCAGATTACTTTTTATGTTTTAACCCCTTAAGACCGGAGGGCGTACAATTACGCCCTATTTTATGCGGCTCTAAATGCCGCCGGGCGTAATAGTACGCCCTCCAGACTTTCTTTACTTATCTGGACCTCACAATCACATGGCCGGGTAGGCTGCCTGCTGTATTGCCACCAGGGGGGCTGCCTGTAATGACAGGTGGTCCCCCTGCTGGCTGGAAATAAAATTAAAATAAATTAATTACCGTATATACTCGAGTATAAGCCGAGTTTTTCAGCACACTTTTTGTGCTGAAAAACCCCAACTCGGCTTATACTCGAGTCAGTCTGTATTATGGCAATTTACATTGCCATAATACAGACTGGGGGCTGGCAGAGCTGTTACTTACCTCTCCTGCAGCTCCTGTCAGCTCCCTCCTCCTCCGCGCCGGTCCGTGCAGCACCTCAGTCAGCTCCCAGTGTAAGTCTCGCGAGAGCCGCGGGGTCATAGTGCGGCTCTCGCGAGACTTACAGTGTGAGCTGACAGAGGAGCTGCACGGACCGGCGCGGAGGAGGAGAGAGCTGACAGGAGCTGCAGGAGAGGTAAGTAACAGCTCTGCCAGCCCCCCTCCTCCCCCCACTGAACTGCCAATGCCACTGGACCCCCAGGGAAGGAGAGCCCCCCTCCCTGCCATGTATCAAGCAGGGAGGGGGGACGAAAAATAAATAAATTAATAATAAATAATAAAAAATAATAAACAAAATAATATAACAAAAAAATGAACTAAAAACAAAATAATACATAAATAATAAAAAAAAAAAAAAATAATAAAAAAATTATTAAAAAAATAATAATATAACAAAAAAAATTTAAATAATAATAATTTTTTTTTTATAAAAATGCCCACCCCCCACCAAGGCTCTGCAACACAAACACACACTGCATCACACACACTGCACTCATACACACACACACACTGCATTCATACACACACACTGCATTCATACTCACATACACTGCGCACTCATATACACACTGCATTTATACACACACTGTAAATAAATATTCAATTAATATAATTTTTTTAGGATCTAATTTTATTTAGAAATTTACCAGTAGCTGCTGCATTTCCCACCCTAGTCTTATACTCGAGTCAATAAGTTTTCCCAGTTTTTTGGGGTAAAATTAGGGGCCTCGGCTTATATTCGGGTCGGCTTATACTCGAGTATATACGGTAAGTGTAAAAAAATAAAAAAAAATAAAAAAAATTAAAAAAAAATAATATATATATATATATATATATATATATATACACACACACACACACACACACACACACACACGCATATATATACATATATTAATTCACTACATATATTTATGTAATATTTTTACATAGTGGGTATTTAATTAATTACAATTAAGCGGGACCTGCCTGACAACCCATGCGAAAGTAAAGGGAATTTAATTTGCTAGCACTATATTTAACCCTATAACTTTCCAAGACACCATAAAACCTGTATATAGGGTACTGCTCCTACTGGGGAGACCGCTGAACACAATATTAGTGTTTTCAAAACAGTAAAATGTATATACAACGATGATATTGCCAGTAAAAAGTGCTGTTTTTGCATTTTACCAAACAGCACTTACGGACATATATTATTGCTGCGATACTTTTTACTGTTTTGAAACACAAATATTTGTGTTCAGCGAAGTCTCCCGAGCAGTACCCTCATGTACAGGTTTTATGGTGTTTTCAAAAGTTACAGCGTCAAATATAAGGCTTGTGTTTCATTTTTTCACATTAAAATTCGCCAGATTAGTTACGTTGCCTTTGAGACCCTATGGTAGCCCAAAAATGAAAATTACCCCTATGATGGCATTCCATTTGCAATAGTAGACAACCCAAAGTATTGCAAACGGGGTATGTCAAGTCTTTTTTAGTAGCCACTTAGTCACAAACACTGGCCCAAATTGGCGTTTTTTGCATTTTTCACACACAAACAAATACTAACACTAACTTTGGCCAGTGTTTGTGACCAAATGGCTACTAAAAAAAGACTGGACATACCCCATTTGCAATACCTTGGGTTGGCTACTATTGCAAATGATATGCCATTATGGGTGTAAATTTCTTTCCTGGGCTACTATAAAGTCCCAAAGGCAACGTAACCAATCTGGCGAATTTCAAATTTAACGTGCTATAGTTGACCCTGTAACTTCCAAAAACGCCATAAAACCTGTACATAGGGGGTACTGTTTTACACATGAGACTTTTCTGAATACAAATATGTGTATTTTATTGCAGTAAAAGCAAACAGTATTATGACATTGACCGTTAAAATGTCATGTAGAAGTAAAAAAATCTAAACAAATCATATTTTCTCCCATTTTTTTTCATATTAAATGATGTTTCATAGCTAAATATTTGATATTAAATGAAATCCCTGTTTCCCCTGAATAAAATGATATATAATAAGGGTGGGCGTATTTACTATGAAAGAGTTGAATTACGGTTGGACAGACATGTAGTGCAAATGCCAAGTTTTGTTTACATTTTGTTTCGTTCACAACTAGTGATGTCGCGAACCGTTCGCGGCAAAACCGTTTGCGGCGAACTCCGGTCAGCTGACACATCCCTGCCAATCTCCGGCAGACCCTCCTACTTCTTGGACAGCATCCATGTTGGGATGTGTCAGCTGACCGGAGTTCGCCATGAACCGTTCGTGGCGAACCGTTCGCGGCAAGTTCGCGACATCACAACGTGTACATTTGGCTCCGTCCTTAAGGGGTTAAAGTGCTTTCAACCAAGAGTGTCACATAGAGAATTGTCCACTTGTAATTTATCGAAGGCAAGCTTGCCAGATACTAGAAGAAAGAGGCTGCCAGTTTATGCAGTGAAGACAGGGCATTCAAATACTAAAGAGAAGAATGACAGCTATGCTTTTGAAGATTAAAGGGATGTTCAAGATTTTTTTGCTGCAATTCTGTGATATGTTAAAGCATTCCCAACAATTCTCACTTTACTGACAACCGTGTGTATTGCATGGACGCATCAAAAAATTTGTATTAGCTATTACTATGACAATGTTAGCAAAAATACATAAACAAATGGTGGATGTTGTGGAGAAATCTTCACTATATAGACATTTATTCCATGTGGATCATTCTAGGTGAGAGAATTGGACAACTTGTCTAAGGAAAAGTGGAAGACCTCAAGATGGCCTTATCTATGTTGCAGTGAGACTCACCCATCCTCCACTGCCACTCACTGCAAAACACACTGCCACTCACTGCAAAACACATAGCAGAATACACTGCCACTCACTGCAGAATACACACTGCCACGCACTGCCGAACACACTGCCAGGTACTGCCCGTCTTCACATGTCTCACCGATGGCTGCCGGCTTGTGAATGCCCATTATCCTGTTCATCCTGTCTTCTGAGTTAGTCATCAGTTTTCTCCGCCGGATCTCGGCTCTTCTCTGAGAGGCGGTCATCGCCATGTCGCCTGCAGCTTCTCCTGAGATGTCCGGGTTGTCCATACCATCCACTGCTCGTATCTTTCTGTGGGAACCGAGTCTGCACAAACCATCAGCACAATGACCACCTTTACACAGCGGCTGTCAGATAGGTGGCGGCACGCTGAGATGACGTCATCACGAAAGCGCCCTGCCCTAAGCGTCGGCCATGTTGTGATTGGCAGCTGGAGGCTCAGTTAGTTGCATGTGGACTACTGTATAAACTGCGTCATATGTATATAAGACATCATGACCCTGTAAAAAAAATAGCCCTGTTCAATGAAAGATAAGCTGATTTCTCCTTCGTGGAGTAACTATTGATTACTATAAAATATATAAGAAATGTAGGTAACTTAGTAAATGTTTAGCTTAAAGTGACACTATAGGCACCCAGACCACTTCATCTTATTGAAGAGATCTGGGTGCAATGTCCCTGGTCCCCATAGTCCTGCCATGTAAAACATTTCCGTTTCCTTTGCAATGATTGCATTGCAGGACTAAGACTGCCTCTAGTGGCTGTCAATCAGACACCCACTGGTGTCACTTTCTGGCTTCTAATGGAGTTTGACTCGGTTAAAGACACGGGACACCCTCACGCTCTGCATGAGGACATCCAGCTTCAGTGAAATCCTCATAAGAATGCACTGAGGAAATGTTACCGAAGGAATAACAGGAACAAGCCGCAGAAGCCACACATAGAGATATGGACACAAGTCTTCAGGAAGTAAGAGGCCTTTATTTACAATCGGGTCTCAGATGAACTCCTGTTCCAAAAATATCTGATATACAAAAAGCATGGTGCAGAGGCCTTTTGTTAGCAGCATATCCCCTCCCATACAGTATAACCCCTCCTATATTCCTCAGACCAATCAGCACACAGGGTATTCAGGATCACCTTATATGGGCAGCCCACATGGCATTTACAGACAAACTATCCACTTCCACACATGCTCAGTATACTGATGACTCTTCCAACTGTTACAGATATTAACATGAGCGTCTGCAGGAATTTTTCCGGAGGGGGGGTGGGTGCATAATTGTAATGACATCCATGCTTGTCCCCTTTTTGACAGTGTCATGAAAGGGAAGGAGCATAGTCATTTTCACATAAAGCCAGGGCGAATAGCTTTTTTACAACTATAGTGTCAGGAATATATGTTTGTATTCCTGACACTATAGTGTTCCTTTAATCAAACTAAAGGAACATTCTGGTCACCATAACAACTTCAACTAAATGAAAATGCTATGATGCAAGGAGGCCCCTGGGCGCTCTTTTTCCTTTAAGGGGTGAAACCACTCTCAAATGGTTTACCCCCAAAGGCTTCCTCCAGCTCCAGGTCGCTCAGTGGTATTCAGCTTCTTAAACGGAGTGTCAGGAAGTGCAGATTGACGTCAGGCATGGGTGCCGCTGATTGGCTAGAGTGGTAAGCTGGTGCTTTAAGCCATTCGCTAGTTCCCGATTCATAAAAATGTTTTACGTTTTCATGAATGGGGAGCTACTGATTGGCTTAGAGTGCCAGCTGACCCTCTAGCCAATCAGCGGCACCCCTACCCAGCGGCCCTCTGTGTTTCCCGACACTCAGTAAATTAAAGTGAACACATTAACACTGGTATTTTTTTTTACCTGGGGAGATGAGAAGGTCCAAAGTTTCCCTGCCAGGCCCAGGTACCAAAGCCTTATGATGTGGTGTCCAGAATGAAGTACTCCAATCTAATTTTCTTCTCCTTCATTTGACACAGTCTTCTTTTTCTTCTGAGGCTCCTTCTGCAGAGGCGGCTCTAGACTTTATGAGGCCTTAGGCAAAACTCAAACATGAGGCCCCACTAACAAAAAAGTGAAAAAAATAGAGTTGCAATACATGCACACTGTCACATACACAAATTGATGCACAGTTTACCTGTGTATGAGAGTGTGTCTGACAGAGAGTATCCGTGTGTGTGTGTGTGAATGTATGTTTCTGTGAGCATGTTTGCGTTTTTTTCTGGTACCCTATGTGTATGGGGTAGCTGCTTAAAGAGGGGGGTGATGCTGAGAGGGAGAGGGGGGTGATTGTGAGAGGGAGAGGCAGGTGATGGTGAGAAGGAGAGGCGG